GACATGGAAAAATGAAGTCAGTCTGGGGAATATAGGAAAGTAATGTTGAATGCCCACTTTATCACACATTGGAAGAGATTGGCCTGAGGGAAGGGACTCCATCTGAAAGAAGGAGGCTCTAACTTTGGAAGCAGGCAAGATATCGATGTAGCAATAGCAAGACACTGTTTTTATTCCTCACCCATGGTGGCTCAGGTGGTAAAGAATCTGCCTGCAATGCAGGAGACATGGGTTCAATCCCTGGGTCAGGAAGATCCCCTGGAGATGGGAAAGGCAACCCACTCCAGTAGTCTTGCCTGGAGAATTCCATGGATAGAGGAGCCTGGCAGGTTACAGTCCATGGGGTCACAAAGAGTTGGACATGACTGAGCAAGTAACGCACTTACCAAACAGAAATAACAGTCCATAGACCACAGAGCAGATACAAGGATTAATGACAATACATCACCAAAAAAGGATTTACAACAGCGCCTAGTTTATGGTAATCCCTCAGTTAATCATTAGTCATCATTTATTAGCTCTTATTATAACTGCAGTATGATGATGTTAGAGCTATGTGGAGTTCTTCCCATTTTCCAAGAATTGGTGATGAGAGTCCACATCTGAAAGCAGAAGATGTACTCAATATCCTAAGCCCAAAAGATCAATTGAGAACTTGCTAAGAGGTGCTACTATGGGCAGAATTGCATCTCTCATAAAAGCGACGAAGAAGAAAGTGAAAGTGATAGTCGCTCAGTCATGTCCGACTCTTTGTGACCCCATGGACTGCAGCCCACCAGGCTCCTCTATCTGTGGAATTCTCCAGGCAAGCATACTACAGTGAGTAGCCATTCCCTTCTCCAGCAGATCTTCCTGGCCTAGGAATTGAACCCGGGTCTCCTGCATTTCAGGCAGATTCTTTACCATCTGATTCACCAGGGAAGTGAAGTGTATGTTAGTCACTCTCTGTGTCCAACTCTCTGTGACCCCATGGACTGGGGCTCGCCAGGCTCTTCTGTCCATGGGATTCTGCAGGCAAGAATACTGGAGTGGACTGCCATTTCCTTCTCCAGGAGGTCCACTAGGGAAGCCTCCAGCAAAGCTATGGTAGAGTCCTAACCCTCAGCACCTCATCACGGGACCTTATTTGAAAATAGGGTCTTTATGGAAGTAATCAAGTTCAACTGAGGTCATTAGGATGGGCCCTTGATAAAATATGACTGGTGTCCTTATAAAGAGGGGAAATTTGAACACTGAGATAGACATACACACGAAGGTTATGTGAAGACACACAGGGAAGACATCATATGAAGACAGAAGGTTGGAGTGATGTATCTATGAGCTATGAAACAGCAATACCAAAGATTACCAGAAAATCAGCAGAAGTAAGAAAGAAGTCAGGCAGGGCCCTTCTTGCATAGGCTTCAAAGGAACATGAGCCTGATTCACAGACCTAACACTCCAGGTGCCTAGGCAATACTTCTCTTTACAGCGTCGGACTTTACTTCCTTCACCAGTCACATCCACAACTGGGTCTTATTTTTGCTTTGGCTCTGTCTCCTCATTCTTTCTGGAGTTATTTCTCCAGTGATCTCCAGTAGCATATTGGGTACCTACTGCCTATGAAGTTCATCTTTCAGTGTCCTATCTTTTTGCCTTTTCATACTGTTTATGGGGTTCTCAAGGCAGGAATATGGAAGTGGTTTGCCATTCCCTTCTCCAGTGGATCACATTTTGTCAGAATTCTCCACCATGTCTTGTCCATCTTGGGTGGCCTTACATGGCATGGCTCATAGTTTCACTGACTTAGACAAGGGTGTGGTCCATGGGATCAGATGGGTTAGTTTTCTGTGATTGTGGTTTTCATTCTGTCTGCCCTCTGATGGAGAAGATTAACAGGCTCATGGAAGCTTCCTGATGGGAGAGACAATCTGAGGGGGAAACTGGGTCTTGTTCTGATGGGCGTGGCCATGCTCAGTAAATCTTTAATCCAATTTTCTGTTGATGACTGGGGCTGTTTCCCTCCCTGTTATTTACCTGGGGCCAAACTATGGTGGAGGTAATGAGGATAATGGCGACCTCCTTCAAAAGGTTCCACACATGCACTGCTGTACTCAGCGTCCCCAACCCTGCAGCAGGCCACTGCCAACCCACACCTCCACTGGAGACTCCTGGACACTCACAGGAAAGTCTGGGTCAGTCTCTTGCAAGGTCACTGCTCCTTTCTCCTGGTTTCTAGTCACACAAGGTTTTGTTCGTGCCCTCCAAGAGTCTGTTTCCCCAGTCCTGTGGAAGTTCTGTAATCAAATCCCACTGGCCTCCAAAGTCAAATTCCCTGGGGGTTCTCAGTCCCTCTGCCAGATCCCAGGTCAGGAAATCTTTTGTGGGCCCTAGAACTTTCTTAACAATGTGAGAATTTCTTTGCTAGAATTGTTCTGCAGTCTGTGGGCCATCTTCTCAGTGGCTATGTGGTGGGTGGGACGAATGGCCACCTCCTCCAAGAGGGCTTATGCTACAGGCTGTGTGACACATGTGATTAAGAAGACCCAGGTGTGTGATCCAGCATGAGATTAAAGGAAAAGAAAAGGAAGGAAAGTATTGCCTAGTTTATTCCCTCAATGTCCCTGACATGGGATGCTAGCCAATCCCCGGGACCAGAGAAGGTCTGACTCCCAAGGCCGAACTGGGTTGGGGTGGACACGCCTGGTAGGGTGCCCTGCATTGAGACCCCCTGTTAAACCTGAGCTGTCTCGTTTGCCTGTGCACCCCGACGGTGACACGACCACCTGGCCTCAAGGACCAGGGTCAAGTCACCAAGTATCCAGATCCTCCAGGGTGGTCCCCAACTGAAGCTTCTGTCCTGAGTGCAGCCTCCTAGGTTCCTCGGCAGGGAGGGGTGTCCCAGGCACACATAACTCTGGAGGGGAGGGGTGAGCCTGCAGGGGGAAGAAGTACATTCCACATTAATTCACAGCCCAGGAAGCTGCCTTTCCCTAAGGCTCTGGCTACAGGTGGAGCCAGAGATGGGCATGAAGAAGTGCTGCCTCCCTGTGGACATTTCCAGTAACTACAACTTCAGCACCTGTGCTTACTGGCACCTCCAAGTTACAAGGCCTGTGGGGCTGTAATGACAGCTGCCCTCAGGAAAGGACCTGGGTGAATACTGCAGAAATCAACTGCAAACACAACCAACTTTGAAGAGGCCAACTGCAAGGTTAATTTTCCCCACACCCTTTAGAGTAAAGACAAAAAGAATAAAAATCCCTAAACGGCCAGAGAACAAGATGGTCTATACCCCTAAATAGGACAGGGTGAATACCAGTCAAAGCGACAACAAGAGATCAAATCTCACCTGTCAGAGCAGCCACATTCACGATTCTACAAACAATAAATGCAGGCAACAGCTCGGAGAAGAGTGAACCCCTCACGTGGTCATTGGAATGGACATTAGCAACAGTTGATAGAAAGCTAGTGTGTCCGCATGCCAGAAAATAAGATTTAAAGAGAGCACAGCCCATGATCTGCCATTCCCACACCTGGACCTATATCCCGAGAAAACCACCATTCAAAAACACACGTGCACCCCACATTCACTGCAGCACTGCTTACAATAGCCAAGACAGAGAACCAGCAAGATATATCTGGACAGATTAAAAGTTAAGAAGATGTGGCACATATATACAATGGAGTATTACTCAGCCATGAAAAGTGACCACTGAAATTATGTCAGTAATAATCACAAGGATGAACCTTGGAGGAATATAGTCTAGGCGAACTCAGCCAGACCAAGAAAGAAAAAAGCATATGATATCATCCCTTTTAGGCAAAATAAGAAAAGAATAACAAAGGAACAAATTTACACCACAAAAGTGACTCTCAGAATTCAAACAGAAACAGAAGGTTCCAAGAAAATGTGAAAGAACAAGGATGAATTAAGAAGTCAGGGATAACATATACACGTAAATCTGTACCTGTAATAGACAATCCAGAAGGATTCTCTCGTTTCCTTTCTTCCTTCCAAATAGACTTAGAAATTTGTATCTCTAACGTATACAGAGAAATCTCTATCTGTAATGGATAATCCAAAATCATTATTTCCTTCCTTCCCATTACATATACACAGAAATCAGTATCTCTAACAGATTTTCCAGGAAGAACCTGATATTCAACACAGGGTACTTTGCTCAACCTTCTGCAATAACCTCTATGGGAAAATAATCCAAAACATAACAGATAAGCTGTGTGTATTTGTCATTAGTGAGTCACGGGGCTGCACCCTGATAAGCTATGTGTAAATGTCATCAGTGACTCATGTGGCTGCCCTGATAAGCTGTGTGTACATGTCATCAGTGACTCACGTGGCTGCCCTGATAAGCTGTGTGTACATGTCATTAGTGACTCACGTGGCTGCACCCTGCTAAGCTGCATGTATATGTCATTAGTGACTCACGTGACTTCCCTGATAAGCTGTGTGTATATGTCATCAGTGCTTCACGTGGCTATGCCCTGAAAACAAGCACGAAACTACACATTGACTATACTCCAACACAGCACAGGCAGGAGACTAGAGCAAAGGAATAGAAAAGCAGTGCCTAGCTTATTCCCTCCCAGCTCCCTGACTTGGGCTGCTCTCTCATTTGGGAGCCTCAGCAGGCTTGTGTCTCATGTCTGACTCATCTGGGGTTGAGGCATCAGGGTTGAGACAACCAAAATTTTAATAGAGATGGGCAACCCTGCAATTTTGGCTCTACTATGTACAACAGCCAAGACAGAAAAACAAGTTAATTGTAGAAGCATGGGTGAAGGGACACACAATGGGGCACACGTACACAATGGAATACATCTCAACCACAAAGAAGAAGGAATAAATGCCAAGTCCAGTGTCAGGAAAGCAAGTAGAGATGATCACTCCAAGTGAAGTAAGAGAGACAGGGAGAGACTAGTATTATATGATATCACTTCTAGGTGTAATCTAAAGATGGATACAAATGAACTTACTGCCCAAAGACACAGGCTCACAGACTTAGAAAAGAAACTTCTGGTCATCAAAATACAAAGATGTGGGGCAGGGAGAAAAGCGCTGCTTTAGACCAATTTATGCACACTACTATTGACAAAACAAGTGATCAGGGCCCACCATGTGACAGAAGGAAACATACTTCACACCTTGCATTAAGCTATAAAGGAAAAACCCTGACAAATCATATGTATATCTATGTAGAAGTGAAACAATCTGTCATAGAAGGAAAAGGAGAAAACAAAACACTCACAAGATTGTAATTCACCTGTATGCTCCAGTTCAGATGAAGGGATGAAAACAGATAAAACAGAGAAAATCCCAATGCTATTCCTCAGGGCATAGTGACTTGCAGTGTCACATCCCTGGAGTCCAGCTGGTTTGGGGGCCAAGGCTGGAATATCCTGGGGCAGAGCGAGCTGGGAGCATGTGGCAGGTGGTGTGTCTCCAAAATGAACCTGGAGTTCCTGCTTCCCTGTGGAGAGACCCCCGCCTCCAGATACAGGCAGAATAAATGAAGAGATTGGAAGTAACATACGCACATTTGTATCTATCAAATAGAGGATAAAATTATCTACTGAACAGCATAGGGAAGTTTACTGAACACACTGCAATGACCTATATGCAAAAACAGAGCCCTAAAGGGAGCAGACATCTGTGTGTAACTGAATCAAGTTCCTGCACACCTGAAACAAACACAGCAGAAATCCACTCTACTCCAATAGAAAACAGCAAGGGATTTACAGATTTAAAAAAAAAAAGCACGCGGCATGAACGAGGGCTGCCGCCTTGTGGCCATTTTCTGTAATAACACCATGAAGAGCTGTACCGACTGTGGCCCACCAGGCTCCTCTGTCCATGGGATTCTCCAGACAAGAACACTGAAATGGGTTGCCATTTCCTTCGGCTGTTGGGCATTTAATATTCACAAGGATTCAGGGACTGTAAGTAAAAACAGCTGCCCTCAGAAAATGTCCTAGGGGTTGTCATCGAAAAGGAACCCAAGAGAAGGCAGGCATTAAAGAAGCCGATTTCAAGATGTAAGTTTAATCCACAGTTTTTTTTTTTTAAATCACATGAAAAATGTTAACATCACTAGACATTAGAGAAACACAAATCCAAGCTACAGCGAAATATCACATCACACTGGTCAGAATGGCCATTGCCAAACACTCTACAATCAATGATAGAGAGAATGTAGACAGACGGGAACCCTCCTGCAGCATTCTTTGCAATCACATAAGTACATCCAACAGGGACCACAGTATGGATGTTCATTTGAACAGTAACACAGAAGTACCTTAGGACCCAGCAATCCAACACCTGGAAATAAATCCAGAGAAAACCTGAAATTTAAAAGCATGGGTAATCTTCAATCTCAGTTCCACTAGGCAAGACCAGGAAGCAGCTAATCAGAGGACAGATGATGGATACAGAAGATGGGGACACACACCCAGAGCGGTCACTCTGAAGCCACAGAAAGGGGGGCGGGGGCAGAGACGACCACCAAAGTGAAGTCAGACAAAGGACAGCTACCATGGGGTATCACTTACAGGTAGATTCTAAAAACGGGTACAAACGAACCTCTTTACCAAACAGAAAGGGCTTCACAACATAGCAAAGCACCTAATGGTCACCAAAAAGGAAAGGTGGTGGGTAGTGAGAAATGAGGTGTAATAGTCAGTGAGGACCCTTCATCAACACTGCATAATAAACCATATGAGAAAGGAACCCAAAAAAGGACATGTCCACATCTCTGCAAAGGGAATCATGTTGCTGTGCACCTAAATCAAAGATAAAAAAAAAAAAATCCTACAACATTGTAAGTCACTTATACACCAATATGAAATACAAATTACAAAAAGAGCATGCCGACTCTATTCCCCTCAGGCCTTGGTGACCTGGGCTCCTGGCACATCCCTGAAGCCTGGGTCCCCCGGATGGACTGTCGTGGGGCTGACAGAGCTGGGGGAGATGTGCGGGCCAATGAGCCCTGCCCCATGGGCCTGCATGCCTGCTCCCCTCTGCACCGGCCCACAATCTCCAGATCCAGGGCACCCTCCTGCACCCACAGGATGTGGTGCCTCTGGGCTGGTAGAGCTATGAACAGGCCCCTGGGCTCCATGTCTCCCAGTGCTGGGGTTCCCACCTCCAGCCTCCTTCCTCGGGGTTGCCCCACCTGTGGTGCAAGCACCGCCCCAGAGGGTGGTGCTGCAGGAACTGGGATGTGTGCAGGGGGTGGGGTGAGGAAGGCAGGAGGAATGGGACACAAGCCTTGGGTGTGTCTTCCAGCAGTTTCCTCTCTTGACAGTCCAGGAAGAGGACTTTCCCCAAGGCTCTGGTTCCCCCCAGAGCAGGGTCGCGCATAAAGACATGCTGCCACCTTGTGGCATTTCCCACAACAACAACTTTGAAACCATTGCTGATGGGCACTTAAATTAACAGGGCCTGCAGGGCTGCAAGTGAAAAACACCTGCCCTCAAGAAATGTCTTAGGGGAGGTCACTGGAAAAATATTCAGAATAGGGCAGGATTTCAAACTCACAGTTTCAAAAAATCATGTCAATATCACTAAATATGAGAGAAATGCAAATCAAAACTTCAACAAGTTATCACCTCACACCAGTCAGAATGCCCACAGTCAGATGATACTCTACAAACAACAAATGCTGGAGAGGGTGTGGAGGAAAGAGAGCCCTCCTACACTGATACTGGGAACAGACAATGGGAGCAGCCACTGTGGAGGACACCGGGCAGAATCCTTAGCAAAGAAAACCAGAATGAAATTACAATACTCCTAATGCCACATACAAAAATAAACTGCAAATAGATTAAGGGTCTAATTAAATGGACAGATGCAATGAAACTCTTAAGGAAAAAAGCAGAACACACTTTGACACAAAATGCAGCAAGTTCTTTTTTCATCCACCTCTTAGAATCAGGACTATTTAAATAAAACAAAAATAAACAAATGGGACCTAATAAGCAGTTACATCATTTGCACAACAAAGGACACCTGTGGTGAAAGAACGAGACAACCCTCAGAATGGAAAAAAATTCTTGCAAAGGAAGATACCCACAGGAATTTGTCTCCAACACAGACAAACAACTCCTGGCAGGAGGAAAGACGAGAGCTTACCGCAGCACTGACCCCTGGGAGGGCCGCAGGCCCACTCAGAGAAGAGCACGTTACCCAGAGAAGCCCACGTCAACCCCAGACCCAGACCTCTGAGCACTGACATCCAGACGCAGGCACGGAGTTTTCTAGTCCCGAGGCCAGGCCCGGTCTCCACCCAGGTCTCCAGCCCCAGTGCACACAGAACAAGGTCAGGCCTAAACGCTCTCACTGTGGAAGCGCACGGGCTCATCTGAACATCATCAGTGTAGACAGGACTTGGGGAGGTCTGAACCTACCGTATAGACAGACCTGGGTCAGGTTTACACTAGCTTAAAGCTGCTCTCCCAGGAGGCGCCAGTCACACACAGGCAGCGTCTCTCACTGCTGAAGGGCGCTCGCCCTCGCGTGTGAAGTAGGATGCACACTTCTTGAACAAGAAATAATCAGCGAGCTCCACCCTTCACCCACATCAGGGGAGGGTGAAACTGGAAGAATCTGTCATTGAACATTCCAACAGGCAAAACAAAGTGTCGCATGACTTTGGCCACGGGAAGGTCAGTTTCTCGCTGTTTCTCACTGTTCGTTGGACCCGAGGGAGGCAAGGCGCGAGCACGGAAGCTGGAAGGAAACTTGGGGCACGCAGGGCCGCAGACTTGTTCCTTCTCTCCTGACTGGCACAGTGGCTGTAACAGCAGACGCGCTGTATCCTCTGGTCTCGTGGTGACTCAGCGGGCGCAGCCGCATCGTAGCCCCAAGGGCTTTTCTCGTGGAACTTAACCGATGTTTACAGAGCGAAAGCGGTCTGTGGCCAAGCGGTGCCCTGTGAAGCGCGTGCGCTGCGCTGTGAGCACGCCCCGCGATCCGGAGCGTGAATTTACAAAGCGCGGGCCGGAGCGAGAGGCCGCGGGCGAGAGAGCCTGCCCACCACCAGCCTGGCTCGTTTGCTGTATCCTTCGTTCAGGGTCCGGGGGAGCCGGGTGTTTCTTGAGTGTAGCCTAGTGTCTTGTAAGCACACACCGGATGTGGCCTAATTCCAGCATCACAGGCTTCCAGCAGGAGGTGGCCCCTCTAGAAACCTTTTGGAAAAGTATATTCTTTATCAGAATGAAAATATGTTGTTGAAATTTCAACCATACTAGTTATTATTTGCAACCTAACATATTCTTAAAAGTTTAGCACCCTGATTTTTGCAGTTCCCATTAGTTCCATTGGTTCAAATTTTACAGGTAGAAACAAGCCATCATTTCAAACTAGTTTCTTCTAATTCTGTTATTTGTTACTATCTATTGAAAAGTCACATTTGAAAGAAAATAAAAGCAAATTCCTGCACACAATGAGTGACTCAAAGAGCACAGGAGCACAGGTACTTTTTCTTCTAACAGTTTCATTTCTCTTTATGAGGAAAACAGAAAAAAAAAGTCACCCTCCCCAATTTTTTGCTTCTCTGTTCAAAATGAGCTAAAATGAAATTGATATTCATATCAACAAATAACAGGTTTTGAGGTCTGAAATGTCATACCAGGGAGACAGGGCCTGGAGAAAAGGGAACACTCCTATACTGCTGGAGGGAAACCACATCCAAAACATAAGGCTAAAATTCAGATTAGATTTAAGTATGACAGTGTGTGGTTACGTGGAGTATGAACCAAGTGTCTACATATAGCAGGCAATACGTGAAGGCAAATTTGGTATCTCACACGTGAGAGTAAGGTTGGGCTTCCCTGGAGGCTCAGAGGTTAAAGCGTCTGCCTGCAGTGCGGGAGACCGGGGTTTGATCCCTGGTCGGGAAGATCCCCTGGAGAAGGAAATGGCAACCCACTCCAGTATTTTTGCCTGGAGAATCCCAGGGACGAAGGAGCCTGGTGGGCTACAGTCCACGGGGGCACAAAGAGTTGGACCCGACTGAGAAACTTCACTTTCACTTTCGCTATGTGAGAGTGAAGGTTTCCTGTCAGATCTGCAGCTGGTATGCACAGTCTTTAGAATACCGCATGTATCTTTTAGAATTATAGCTTTGTCTTGATACATGGCTAGGAGTGGGATTACTGAATCATATGGTAACTAGTTTTTGAGGAATCACCATGCTGTTCTCTACAGGGACTGCACCAGTTAACATTCCCTCCAACAGTGTGGGAGGGTTCCCTTTTCTCCACACCATTTGCAACACACGTTATTTGGAGATTTCTTAATGCTGGCCATTCTACCAGCATGAAGTCGTACCTCATTGTGGTTTTTATTTGGTTTTTATTTTATTATTTCTCAAATAATTACCAATGAGGATCATTATAGGATGATTCTCAGATGTGTCAAGTCCATTTAGTGTAACGTGTCAACTTGACAATTTTTTCACAGATAGTTCAGTTCAGTTCAGTTCAGTCGCTCAGTCATGTCTGACTCTTTGCGACCCCATGAATCGCAGCACGTAAGGATTTATTAAATATTTAGTTATTTCATTTCTTCTTAGTTAACTATAGGGACATGAGTTATCATGTTAATCAAGGTGATGAGCTCAGTTGTGCATCTCTGAGCAGTTTTAAAGACATGCATTGCTCCCTTCCAAGGGAAGGCTTGTGCTGGGACTAAGGTCCACCTCCCAATGAAAGCTGTTCCTTGAGCAAGTTCAGTCAGTGCAGGGGGTAGATGGTGAGACCACCATGTCACCTGACACTTCCTGCATCTCAGGCCTCGGTCTGACCATTCCATCTGAGGTTGAACAGTTTGTCCTGGTGATATAGTTTGACCTGTTTCTGTATATCTAGGTCAATTGTTAATAATTTAGGATTAAACTCAGGATTCTATAGGATTACCCACACTCTAATAGCAAAATATATGTTTTAAGGTTATACCAGGACACGGGAGTTACACCATGAGCCTAAGGGAGTTTCTGCAGACTTTTCTGTTCTGACATCAAGGTCCCTTCCCCAGTTTTATGACAGCACAATTGCCAGAGACTGGATGAGCTACATCACTGGCAGGGATCAGGACAGAATGAAAATGCAGGAATCCTTGTGTTAGGATTTCTAAGAATGTCAGGCTGACAGCACAGCCTTAAACCAAGCACGGAGCCCATCTAAGCGCAGGCGCCCCGACACCGCGCGGGTGTGTCCACAAAGACAAAGGCTTCCACTCGCACAGAGCCAGTTTTGTTTAATGGTGTGTTAAATTGAATTATAACTGCAAATATTTGTATCAGGGACACGTGGACTCTTTCTTCTATTAAAAATTGGGGCATTTTTAATTGAGGAGTAGTGTTTCATGGTGTGTTAGTCCCAGGTGTGTAGCAGAGGGATTCAGTTATATATATATTACATATATATAGTATATATAATACACATTACATATATAAGCATATATAATACATATATATAAAAATACACCCACACACACGCTCTCAGATGATTAGGTCTCAGTTGTTGTGCTGTTCAGCCGCTCAGTCGCGCCTGACCCTTTGTGGCCCCATGGCCTGCAGCACAGCAGGCTTCCCTGTCCCTCACCTTCTCCTAAGTTTGCCCAGGCTCACGTCCCTTGCATCAGTGATGCCATCCAGTCGTCTCATCCTTGGACATCCTCTTCTCCTGCTGCTCTCAACCTTTCCCAGCATCAGGGATTTTTCCAGTGAGCCAGCTCTTCTAATCAGATGGCCTAAATACTAAAGCTTCAGCTTTAGCATCCGTCCTTCCAGTGAATATTCAGGGTCACTCTCCGCTAAGATTGACTGGTTTGATCTCTCTGCTATCCAAGGGACTTTCAGGAGTCTTCTCCAGTACCACAGTTCAAAGGCATCAATTCTTGCTCTCACGACCATATGTGACCACTGGGAAGACCACAGCCTTGACTATATGGACCTTTGTCAGCAGTGTAATTTCTCTGCTTTTCAACACACTGTCTAGGTTTGTCATAGCTTTCCTGCCAAGAAGCAATCATCTTCTGATTTCATGGCTGCAGTCACCATTGCAGTGATTTTAGAGCCCAAGAAGAGGAAATCTGCCAGTACTTCCACCTTTTCCCCTTCTATTTGCCATGAGTAATAGGACCAGATGCCACGATCTTAGTATTTTTTTTAATATTTAGATTTAAGCCAGCTCTTTCACTCTCCTCCTTCACCCTCATCAAGAGGCTCTTTAGTTCCTCTTGGCTTTCTGCCATTAGAGTGATATTATCCACGTAACTAAGGCTGTTGATGTTTCTCCTGCCTATCTTGACCCCAGCTTGTAACTCATCCAGCCCAGAATTTCTCATGATGAGCTCAGTGTGTAGGTTAAACAAAGAGGGTGACAGCAGACAGCCCTGTTGTACTCCTTTCTTAATCTTAAGCCAATCAGTTGTTCCATACACTGTTCTAACTGTTGCTTCTTGACCCACATACAGGTTTCTCAGGAGACAAGTAAGATGGTCTGGTATTGCCTTCTCTTTAAGAGCTTTCCACAGTTTGTCATGATCCACACAGTCATAGGCTTTGGTGTAGTTGAAGAAACAGATGTAGATGTTTTTCTGTAATTCCCAATTTTTCTTTATGATCCAGTGAATGTTGGCAATTTGGTCACTGTTTCCTTTTCCTTTTCTAAACCCAGCTTGGACATCTGGAAGTTCTTGATTCAAAAAATGCTGAAGGCTAACATGCAATATTTTGAGCATGACCTTAACTAGCATGGGAGATGAGTGAAATTGTCCAGTGGTTAGCACATTCTTTGGTACTACCCTTCTTGGGAACTGGAATGAGGATTGACCTTTTCCAGTCCTGTGGCCACTGCTGGGTCTTCCAGATTTGCTGCCATATTGAATACAACACCTGATGGCAGCATCCTTTAGGGTTTTGAATGCTCACTGGAATTCGATCGCACCCACCAGCTTTATTAACAGCAGTGCTTCCTAAGGCCCACTTGACTTCTCTGTCCAGAATGTCTGGCTCTAGGTGGCTGACCACACCATTTCTGCCCTTTATTGTGCCCATCTTTGGGCAAAATGTTCCCTTGAGATCTCAAATTTTCCTAAAGAGATCCCTAATCTTTCCCCTTCTGATGGTTTCTTCTAGCTTTATACACTGTTCATTGAAGAAGGTCTTCTTGTCTCTCCATACTGTTCTTTGGAGGCTATACCTCTCCCTTGCTTTTCTCTGCTCTTCTTTCTTTAGCTGTTTGCAAGGCCTCCTCTGATAACTGCTTTGCCTTCATGCTTTCCTTTTTCTTTGGGATAGTTTTGTTCACTGCCTCTTGTACAGTATTATGGGCCTCTGTCCATAGTTCTTCAGGCACACTGTTTACTAGATCTAAACCCTCAAATCTATCCATCACCTCCACTGCATATTCATAGGGGATCTGATTTAAGTCGTACCTGGCTGGCCTAGTGGTTTTCCCCACTTTCTTTAGTTTAAGCCTGAATTTTGCTATGAGAAGCTGAGGATCTGAGCCACAGTCAGCTCCAGGTCTTATTTCTGCTGACTGTGTACAGCTTCTCCACCTTCAGCTAAAAAGAATGAAATCAATTTCATTTCGGTATTGATCACTTGGTGAAGTCCATGTGTAAAGACATCTCTTGTGTTGTTGAAAAAGTATATTTGCTATGACCAGTGCATTCTCTTGGCAGAATTCAGTTAGCCTTTGCCCTGCTTCATTTTGTTCTCCAAGGCCAAACCTGCCTGTTACTCCATGTTATCTCTTGACTTCCTACTTTTACATTCCAATCCCCAATGATGACTGGAACATCTGTTTTTTTGGTGTTAGTTCTAGGAGGTCTTCTAAGTCTTCATAGAACTGAACATCTTCCGTTTCTTGGGCAATAGGGGTTGGGGCATATACTTGGAGTCCTGTGATATTAAATGCTTTGCCTTGGAAACAAATCAAGATCGTTCTGTCGTGTTTGACGCTTCTCCTAAGTACTTCATTTTGGGCTCTTTTGTTGACTACGGGGGCTACTCCATTTCTTCAATGGGATTCTTGCCCACAGTGGTAGATATAATGGTCACCTGAATTAAATTCACCCATTCTCATCCATTTTAGTTCACTCTTACCATCTCCCGCTTGACCCCATCCAATTTACCTTGATTCATGGACATAACATTCCAGGTTCCTATGCAATACTATTCTTTGCAGCATCAAAATTTACTTTTATCACCAGACAATCCATAATTGAGTGTCATTTCCACTTTGGCTCAGCCACTTCATTCTTGCTGGGGCTATTAGTAGTTCTCCTCCACTCTTCCTCAGTAGCATATTTCAGACCTAGGGGACTCATCTTTCACTGTCATAGCCTTTTCTCCTTTTAAACAGTTCATGAGGTGCTCACAGCAGTATACTGGGGTGGCTTAGCCATTCCCTCCTCCAGTGGATCATGTTTTGTCAGGTTTTGTCAGATTTCAGATTATTAGGTTATTCCTGTACTATAGAGTGAAGTGATGTGTCAGTCACTCAGTCGTGCCCAACTCTCTGCAGCCCCCTGGACTGCAGCCCACCAGGCTCCTCCGTCCATGGGGTTCTCCAGGCAAGAACCCTGGAGTGGGGGCACTCCCATCCCCCTTCTGATGTCTATGTCAGATGCTTTCTCTGTCCCTTTTATACTTTAACAAAACTCTGCTACACAAAAGCTCTTGAGTGATCAAGACTGGTCCCTGGTCCCAAAGCTAAATCTTCTTCTTCAGAGATCACGAATCTGACATCGTTCACCATAAACTATCTTCTTGGGGGCTCATCTGGGATCTTCAGGACAAGCTTTCAACTTTTCAACCTCTTCATCAATTGAAGACTTTCCATGGTGGGTTTCTCCACTTTAAGGAAAGGACTTTCTGCAAGTCTGCGAATACCTTCGACAACAACAACCATACATGATGTCTCTTCTTAATCTGATGACATCTAACAATCCTAAAATGGACTGGTGCAACAATTTGAACCTTAACTATGGACCTAATGTGACTTTTAACTTTGCTTATTGTTCTGTTCTTGCTGTTTGCTATCTGTAACTGTGTAACTGGATTTGTTTCTAACCGTGTGAAAGCTTTTAAGTTAAAAATGGTTGTCTAGGCTCCTACAAGTGCCACAACCTCCTCCAACTATTACTTGGGGCCCCTGGATCAGAGACACTCCATGTGAGGGTTAGGAGAACATATTGTCTCAACAATTTAGGGATGACGCCACTCAACAGCAGGAAGTAGTTATGGAATGAAAATGATGCCCCTTTCCCTTGGCGACATAATTCTCCTAAAAGAAAAGGAGAGAATGAAAGAGTCAATTCCTAGGCAGGTTGATAAGAAGTCCGGGGTCTCTGAGGAGGAGAGAGGAGTCTGGGTTTCTTGAGGAGGAGATGGGGTCTGGAATTCTCAAGGAAGAGGAAAGGATAAACTTTTTTTTCCTACATTCCTTAGTCTTAGTGAGGATTATGTAACAACAGTGTATCTTGCTGAAGGATATGTCTCTCCTTAAGAAGAACCTTCTGACTAACCATGCTATCTTAAGGTGCATGTTGTGGGAGTGGGTCTGATAAAAGCATTTAAGGCCTTGCTAACACTAGTGGGGGGGGGGGGCGCTCCCATCCCCCTTCTGAGTCTGTGTCAGAAGCTCTGTTTCTTTTCTTACTTTTATAAAACTCTGCTCCACAAAAGCTCTCGAGTGATCAAACCTGGTCCCTGGTCCCGCAGCTAAACCTTCTTCTTCAGAGACCACAAATCCGATGTTGCTCACCATAAAGTGTCGCTAGGAAAGGGAGCACTGGAGACAATAAAAGATCAGTGGTTGTGGGCTTCCCTGGTGGCCCACTGGCCGAGACTCTGAGCACCAGTGCCAGGGGTCTGGGCTTGAGCCCCGGTCAGGGAGCCAGATCCCACATGCCACAGCTAAGAACCAGCACAGCCAAGTAAATAAATATTTTTTAAAAAGAGAAAAGATCAATGGTTGCTAGGAATGAGGTGAGGAGTGGAGAAGGGATAAATAGGCAGAGCACACAGAATTCTTAAGGCACTGAAACTATTCTGTGTGATACTATAATGATTGATACATGTCATCACACATTTGTTCAAAATCATAGAATGCATAATTACAATAGTGACGCCTAATGTAAACTATAGACTGTGAGTGATAATGGTGTGTTGATGTACGTTAGTTGATTACAACAAGTGTACAACTTTTGTGCAGGATGTTGACAGTGGGGAGGCTGTGCATGCACCAGGCGAGGAACCTTCTGTACTTTTGGTTCAATTTGCTGTGAACCTAAAACTACATTAAAAAATAAAGTCCTTTCAAACAAAAAAAAAGGAATACTAGAGTGGGTTGTCATTCCATTTTCCAGGGGATCTTCCGGATCCAGGGATCAAAACTGGGTCTCCTGCATTGCAGGCGGATTCTTTACTATCTGAGCCACTAAGGACACAGAAGAACTGCACAAAAAGGGTCTTAATGACCCAGATAATCACGGTGGTGTGATCACTCACAGTCACCTAGAGCCAGACGTCCTGGAATGAGGAGTCAAGGGGGCCTTAGGAAGCATCACGACCAACAAAGCCAGTGGAGGTGATGGAGTTCCTGCTGAGCTCTGTCAAATCCTAAAACACGATGCTGTGAGAGCGCCGCACTCAACATGCCAGCAAATTTGGAAAACTCAGCAGTGGCCACAGGACTGGAAAACGTCAGTGTTCATTCCAATCCCAAAGAAGGGCAATGCCAAAGAATGTTCAGACTACCACATAATTGTACTCAATTCACTCACTAGCAAGGTAATGCTCAAAATTCTCCAAGCTAGGATTCAACAGTAAATGAACCAAACTTCCAGATGTACAGCTGGATTTAGAAACAGTAGAGGAACCAGAAATCAAATTGCCAACATCTGCTGGGTCGTAGAAAAAGCAAGAGAATTTCAGAAAAACATCTGCTTCATTGACCACGTTAAAGCCCTTGACCATATGGATCACAACAAACTGTGGACAATTCTTCATGAGATGGTAATATCAGTCCACCTTACCTGCCTCCTGAGAAACCTGTAAGCAGGTCAAGAAGCAACAGTTAGAACCAGATATGGAACAATGGCCTGGTTCAAAATTGGGAAGGGAGTATGTCATTGTACATTGTACATTGTCACCCTGCTTATTTAACCTATATGCAGAGTACATCATGTGAAATGCTGGTCTTGATGAATCAAAAGCTGTAATCAAGATTGCTGGGAGAAATCTCAACAACCTCAGATATGCAGATGACACCACCCTAATGGCAGAAAGCAAAGAGGAACTAAAGAGACTCTTGAGGAAGGAGAAAGAGGAAAGTGAAACAGCTGGCTTAACACTCAACATTCAAAAAACCAAGATCATGGCATCCAGTCCCATCATTTCATGACAAGTAGACAGGGGAAAATTGGAAACAGTGGCAGATTTTATTTTCTTGGGCAGACAGTGACTGTAGCCATGAAATTAAAAGACACCTGCTTCTAGGAAGAAAACCTATGACCAACCTAGACAGCATATTAAAGAACGGAGACATTACTTTGCCAACAAAGGTCCATATAGTCAAAGCTATGGTTTTTCCAGTGGTCATGTGTGGATGAGCTGGACTATATGGACTCCATATAGCTCTCCGTAGCTGGACCATGGAGAGCTGGACTATAGAGAAGTCTGAGCGCCGAAGAATTGATGCTTTTGAACTGTGGCATTGGGGTGTAGGAGACAGGCCTACTAAAAGATCTGGCAAAAGGATTAAGCAATCTTACTGAGAGGACCTGACTCAGCATGTGACTTCTGAAGGAATCCAAGAAGGAACAAAAAACATTTTGAAAGCAGGATGTACGCCTGGGTGCAGAAAGCCATCAACAGGCTGTTCCTATCTTTGGCACCTGCAAGGCACATAGAGAGTAACTGGGTGTTTGTCCTTGAGACAGAAAAACAGAGATACAAAAATGTTAAATGTGAACTGCACAGGGTTATCACTGACAGCCACCTGGCCTGCTCATGTAAACACGAACAAGCAAGTCTCAAAAAGTATAACAAAGCAGACTTGAGTTCAGTTTGGGCACCTTCACCTCGTGGGGTGCTGGTCCCCTGATTCCTCCCATAATTTTCTCGAGTGTTTCTCATTCTTTTGCTGCACCACACTTTTCAGGAACCTGGGCTGTCAAGATGGACTCTACATTGGAGAAGACTCTTGAGAGTCCCTTGGGCTGCAAGGAGATCCAACCAGTCCATCCTAAAGGAAATCAGTCCTGAATAGTCATTGGAAGGACTGATGATGAAGCTGAAGCTCCAATACATTGGCTACCTGGTGCAAAGAGTAGACTCATTAGAAAAGCCCCTGATGCCGGGAAAGACTGAAAGCAGGAGGAGAAGGGGATGACAGAGGATGAGATGGTTGGATGGCATCACCGACGCAATGGACAGAGTTTGAGCAAGCTCCAGAAGATGGTGAAGGACAGGAAAGTCTGGCATGCTGTAGTCCATGGGGTCGCAAAGGGTCAGACATGACTGAGCGACTGGACAGCAGGGAACAACAGGGAGGGGCTCCATTCTGGGTGGCAGGCGCCGGGCCACTTGGCCCTCATCACCTGCAGGGCCTGAGGTCAGGTCCCAGGGCTCTCCTGCCTTCATCCCCAGTCCTGGGGGCTGCTCTGGCCTGGGGCCCCTGCCAGCCTGATTTCTTGCCTCCTCCTTTTCTAAGCTCAATGAAGTACAACACTTTTAAGCCCGGCTGTTTCTCTTTCATAGGCTCTCAGTGCAGCTCACCTCCTGACCTCACCCCCCTACTCTAAATTGATCAGCTCCCCGAAACCAACACTGGCTCTCTGCCTATGTCCTTGGAGTTCCACCAACTCCATCTCCACCCCCATCTCTCTCTGGGCCCAGAGGTCTGGCCAAGGAACCTCACGGGGGGCTCCACCATGCTCCAGCCCCCTCTAGCAGCCTTCTGCACTAACACCGACTCTCAGCACTTTCTCCTACTTTTGTCCCCATCCCCAGGGGCTGCCCTGGCCTGGAGCACCTGCCAGACCCTCCTCGTTTGGTCCAAACAAGGATACAAGGAGGGTGGCACCCCACTCCCTCCAAAGCCCTGCCCTTTCTGGGAGGTGAGCGCACAGTTCGTATGGTGGGTCCAAGAGTGAAGGCTCAGTTGCCCCCTTGGCTCCTGCCTGCTCTGTGCAGGGAATGCCCTCCCGGAAGCACTGGTGTAGGTCGGGGCTGGTGCTCCCAGTGGGAATGGCTGGGGTAAATAACTGCCGGGGCCCCCAGTGTGAGGGAGCAAGCCGAGGCCGCAGGGAGCCCAGGCTGCAGATATGAGTCCACGTCACCCCCGGGTGGCTCCGGCTGGAGGTCGCGGGCCTGGACTGCCAGCTGCCTGCCAGGAGACTGCCTCCTCAAGGGGTAGTGGGCTGGAGCTATGGAAGTCACCGTGGATGTGGGGGCTGGAAACAGCAGGCAGCTGTCTCCTGGGAGCCATGAACTCAAGGGAGCCACGGGAAATATCCCCTGGCACTGCCCTCCTGCTCAGGACAAGGCTCCGTGGGGAAACCAAGGCCCCACAGCTGACAGGCAGGTGGAAGCTGGACCCCTCGTGCTAGGCCAGAGGCGGACAGCCCAGGGTTGGACCAGGTGGCTCCTGTACCTGATGCCCTGTCATCCCAGAGGAGGTGCCTGTCCACATGGGCGGCCAAGCCTCAGAGCTCCCCTTTCCAGGGGCAGGGCAGACGGGTCTGCCTCTCTCTTCTAGCACAGATTCTAGCGCTTGTGCATACACGCCCTTCCCTTCCGGAGGAAGAGCTTGCTCGCACAGCCAGCCTGGTTGCAGAGGAGGTCGGGCGCATGGCCAGCTGAAGGGCAGGGTCCCGTGCCCTGGGAGTCACCCCTTCTAGTGTTCCTCCACCCCCAACCGCTCTCCACCTGGAAGGCACGTTTTATGAGAGACACAACTGCATAAAGTGACTTACAATTCAGGAATCAGTTGAAAATCATGGGCTGGCAGGTGCCTTTCAGGAGTTTTGCTCACAGATTGCTGGCAGGGCTGCCTGCTGACATGGAGGCTTCCCCAGCCCCGCAGAGCCTGTGGGCATCGGCAGCCAGGGGCATCCTGTCCAGGGGAAGGCCCCCTGTCACCCCCTGCTCCTCTGCTCCTGCAGTCCCTGTGAGACGGAGCTGGGGACAATGGGTGACCCGAGGAGGTCATGGCCCAGCCAGCCCGGCCCAAGGCTCCCAGAAGAGCAGCCAGTCTCCTGAGCCCAGCATCCATCATGGGAGCCAACTGCCTTCCAGCCCTGAACTGAGGGGTGTTTCAGTTTGGAGACACGGAACACAAAGCGCCAGCCGGGGTGGTCCCGGAAGAGAGGGGGCCAGCCCAGCACCCACTCCCCAGCCTCAGTCCTGTGTGCACCGGACACTGAAGCTTCCTCCTGCCCGGATGCCTGTTCTCCAGTCCCTGTGGTCAAACCCGTGCTTGGGGACCCACTTCCTTCAAGCAGCTGTCTTGACCCCGCCCTGCAGGGGAGCACGTGCTGTGCTGTGTCCTCCTCGGTCCCTGGACTGGCGACTGCAGTGTCACTGGGTCCATCTCATCTTCCTAGCTGGACTGGGACTTGCACGGTGGGTCTGTAGGGGCCAGCCACAGACGGCCCCGAAACCCCCATGAGGAGCTGGGACTCACGGGGAGGGGATAAGAGCTGTGGCCAGATTTCAAGGAGAGATGCACTGGTTAACCGCACACTGGGCTGCTTAGCGCAAAGACCAGAACTGGGAAGACAAGGGATACAGCAGGGCCTCCACCCGGTCCCAGCCCTCCTCTTGCTTCCCAGCCCGCCCTCAGGGCCTGGAGGAGGGTCCTGTCCAACTGGTCCAGTGTGGACCTGCGGGCAGCGCCACTGCGTGGTGACAGCCGGGCGCACAGGGCCCCTGGGCCACGTGCAGCCGCCCAGGGCTTCCAGGAGCCCACGTGCAAACGCCAGGACAGACATCTGACATACCGATGCACCACCTAAAGTGGAAACACCTGGTTCCTGGGAATCTGGAACTTACCTTTTTAAAGGCCCTTTCCCTGGCCTTCGTACTTCTGGGCTGCTGTGTCTCCTCCTGACTCCTCCCCCTGGAACGTATGGCTCACAGGAGCATCCCCAGGACCTGAGCTGCTCAGCAGCTCCCACCATGGTCCAGCCTCTCAGAGGGGCTGCTCCACCGCACATTATACACTGGGGAACTCGCCGTGGAAAGGCCCCCTGCACGACAGTCAGGAGACAGCTGCGCAGGGACGGCCACGCCCACGCCGCCGGGTTCACGGACTCTGTTCTTCTAGTAAGGGCCTCAGAGTTCCCCTCGGTCCTTCTGGAAGTGTTCTGGAACGCAAGTGCAGGAAGCTAGCACACTCTTCCCGCATTCCTGTCCTGCAGTGAGGCTCAAGCCTTCCCCCTTCATGGGAGATGTGCTGCAAGAAAGGCCGTCCAGCCCCCACCCAGCTGGGCCTGTGTCAGGGCGGCCTCTCCTCTGGCCCCCAGGCAGCACCAGGCCGTCCTCTGAGCTGGCCAGATAATCCGGACACGATGCTTCTGAAGGATGCGGCGGTGCGAGCCACCCTCCTAATGTGAATCCAGGGCAGAGAACACCCCATGTTCCCCTGGACCATATCCTCTCCACAGGCATCCGGCACACGCGGCGCACACTGCGGTACTGCCCCCACCTCGGGCTGGGCTGTGTGCACGCAGCCCTGGCCTCCAGGGGCCCGGGGTTCAGCATCTTCCTGCCCTCCACTTCAATGCAGGAGGTGCAGCCTGACCTTCCTGCCTCACCAGCCATGGGGAGTTACCCTGGGCTCACTTTGTGGTCAGACTTCCAGCTGGCCAGTCTGCAACACAAATGCTTTAAAGCAAAGTTCTAGAATCTCCCAGCCACCCCTGCTGTCTTTGGCTGTGGCCGGAGTGGGGCTGGGACACTCTCGGGCTGCCCAGCATGGGGGTAGCTTCTGGAGGACGACATACCCAGGGCAGCCGGCGCCTCTGGGGCCCTACGCCTGCTGGTGGAGGGGGATCCCCAGGGCCTCACCGGGGCTGGGGGCATGGACCACTGGCCCTCCAGGCTGCTGTCCCTCCCCCTCACAGAACTGTGTGCCCACCTCAGGGCCCAAGAGGCTCAAATCATGCTGAGGTCAGCAGAAGGGGAGGGCCTCAGAGTGACAGGACGATCCTGCCTGTGGCCGCACCGCAAGCCCATGGCCATGGTCACCACCTCTGTCGCCCGGGGAGTCCTCGTCACAGGGCAGTTCACTGGACGGCTCGAGCGGCTCCTCCTGGCCCACGTTCACTCATGGATGCCTCATGCGTCACTTCAAGTGACCCCTCTGTCTTCGGGGTCAAGGGTTATCAGTGTTTCAGAGAGATTTTTCTATCTCAAGAGAGGGATAAAGTGGGAACATGGTGTTGCCCACTCAGGATCCGCTGCTGCAGCTCCCAGAAGTCTGGTCCCATGAAGGGCAGGGACCCAGGCCCCATGAGTATAGAACCACTCCCAGGCTCCACGCGTCCAGGTGAGTGGCCGTCACAGAAGGTGCTGACTGAGTGGGAAAGTCTGTGATTCCTATACTCAGCTCAGCATCAGGAAGCAGGGTCTCTGATGTCAGGTCTCTTCTGTGGCAACCCCTCCTGGTGGCAGCACTGCCCAGCAGGCACCAGCTCCCGGGACAGGCCTTGGCCGCCTCACCTGCCTGGCAGCCACCATCCAGAAAACAGTCAGTCACATCTCCTCCACTCACATACTCCATGACAAGGAATAATGTTTCTTCAGTGTCAGTCACCTGGAGGAGCTTTCAAGACCCTGATACTCTGGACCTTGCAAAAAACGTCTCTGGAGGCTCTTGTTAATGGCCTTTCTGAAAAGAAGACCACTCTCATCATATTTATCCCAGTAAGGTCAGCAGCAAATTCATCATTAGAAAGCTTGGGAGACCAGGAGACAGTGGGTTGACTTATTCAAAGCACTGAAGGAAAAATATGTCAACCAAGAATCCTGGCAGGCAAGACAGGGAGTTCTTTAGCATTAGGCCTGCCTTGAGTAAACCACACTGCACAGTAACTCAAAAACAAGTGTATATATGTGGAAAAATAGGAAGTGACCACATAAGCCAAAAGAAAGGTTCAGAAAAGACCTTAGAAGACTTGAAGCTTACACCTCAGGCTGGCCCTCATCTTGAAGACTGCCCACAACAATCAGAAGCACAAAACATGTCAGCAAACAGCAAGCCCAGGGGAGGAGTGGGAACCTTATTTCAAGAGTTGCCACATTATCACAGTCAAACGTGCAGTTTTCAACAAAAAATCACAAGGCAGAGGAGTGACATCAGCAAAATGGTGGAGCAGGAGACTTCTACTATCTTCCCCCAAAGAAAACCGATTTGGACGATCGCCCACAGAGCAGACAGCCTTTGCGGGAGCCCAACGGTGGGTGCCAGCGCGATGCTAGACAGAAAAATCAGATACTGGATGCACTGAGGATGCACATACACATGTAGGCGCAAGGCCACACACACGTGCACACCCTGACCTCCCACCTGAGTCAGCCAGTGCACGCTGTCCCACTGAGTGAGCCTCACCGGCTGGCAGGGTCCTGCCCCGGTCTCCAACCTCCTGGGCTGGGCCTGACCTCATGCGCAGGCCGTTCGCTCCAGGCCTGGGTCTAGTCTGAGTCCCCACTGTGCAGACCCTGCTTGCAGCCCCGGGGACGGAGGAGGGCACGGTATCACTCTGTCCATCCTTCTGAAGAAGGCCACCCAGCTTCAGAGGCCCTTTTCTGATGGAGCCACCAGGGGACACAGGGCAGAGGCAGGCTGGCGGGAGGACCGGTCCACTTCTGTCCTCACTGTGCCACTCCCTTCCCTTCCCAGGATGTCAGAGGATAGATTCTGTCATAAATTCTTAGGACAGATTTGGAGCTAGCGGAGCAGCTTTTCTAATGCATTATTCAACCAGAGTGCTCAGTCTGAAAACACCCCACACTATAAAATACATCTTCTTTGTAAGGGCATCTGTTGTTTCTTACAGGTAGTTAGCGGCTACTGAATTATCTATTTTTTTATTTGGCTATGTGCCTAAGACCGTTTGCTCTAATTAAGGACCACACCTGCACTCAACAAATGTGCCTTATTTGTAAAATGAAACTTTGAACCCTGCTGGATGAGTAGCCCCCAGGAGGGACATGTCTCAGAGTGCCAAGGCCTCAGAGGGCGAGTCCAGCCTGAGTTCCCCTCCTGCCTGGAGCAGCTCTGACCCTCGAGGATGGTGTGCACAGGAGGCAGCCCACTGTCCCGCCGCTGCCACTCGGCCCCCGGGGGATGCAGGGCCGCTGTGCTGGGCCCCTGGACACTGGGTAGGGAGGGAGGCTGGGGCCAGGGGAAATCAGGGCAGGGAGAGGCAGGGTTCCTTCCTGAGGCCTCATCCTGAGATTCCTTCTCACCTGTGGACTGTGCCCAGGGTTCCAGCACAGATGGAAGGGGGTGGTGCTGACTTACAGTGGTGGACACTTTAAGAGAACAGACAGGGAGAGAGAGGGGCCAAACCCTGTTCGAGTAAAATATCCAGAAGTCACGTGTCTCGCACCCTTGGGACAGGGGGACATTGCACATGTGCACAAAGGCTCCTCAGTGGTCAAAAAGGAGGGGGCGCCACACCGTAACATGTGATGCTAAGGGTGTCCCATAGGCCTCTGGGCTGAAATCCATCTTGGAAAAAAGGTGTGCCTGCGTATCAGGGAGGGTCCTAGGGCAGGGCAGGTGTGGAAAAGAAACCAGATAACCGGCCAAAGGTAAAAAAAGGCCTGGAATAACTTTCCTGTAAATGACTCCTCTCTATCAGGGGGACACCCACATCCTTTCCCTGTGTGCGTCTCTGCCTTATTTCTGTCTTAAATAAGCAAACAGTTCCCCTGTGTGCTCTCCCACATGAGCTGTGTCTAAATAAACTTTGCATCTGTTTTTAAGTTTTTGCCTCCTTGAAACATTCTTGCTTTCAAACCGGGGCAAGAGACCAGAGCTCTGCCTCTGGTCTCTCGCCCTTGCCGGTCGGTGGACAGGAGTCCCGGTTTCCACCCAGGCCACCCAGGTCCCGCTCCTGGCACGGAGCTGAGCTCTAGGGTCAAGTCGCCACTCACTGGTGTCTCAGCGAGATCATGGGCAAACCCTAGGGCTTCATGAAGAAACCAACTCCCTTCTTCCCTGGGAGTGCGGTGTTAGGCGCACCCCTCCTGTCTCCGCTGCTGCGAGTCTTCATCTGCCCTGAGGCCCGCCTGCTGGGCTGCAGAGAGGGGCAGACGGGGCTGAGCTGGGTCCCATGCCCTTGCAGTGCCACTCACAGCTCGGCTGGGACTGCTGGGCACAAGGCCACGTGTCCCCAGCTCTGGACAGGCCGGACCACAGCCGCCCTGCCAGGCCGGCCCCAGCCTGTCCAGCACCTCGACTGCAAGCTTCTGAGACCGGGATTCGATTCGGAAAGTGTGTCAGTCTCTCAGTTGTGTCCAACTCTTTGTGACCTCATGGACTGCAGCCCACCAGGATCCTCTGTCCATGGGATTCTCCAGGTGAGGATACTGGAGTGGGTTGGCATTTCCTTCTCCAGGGGAACTTCCTGACCCACGAGTCAAACCCAGGTCTCCTGCACTGCAGGCAGATTCTTTCCTGTCTGAGCCATGAGAGGACCTGTGCAAACCATGCTCCAGATGCTCCCCTGAGACTATGATGGACCATAATAAACAGCTGCTGAGCCCTGCAGTAACTAGTGGGCTCATAGGCAACTACGCCGGGGCCGAGGTCGGAGAGTGCGTGTGTCCACGTGGCGGGGCCCAGCATTTCGCAGGACCCGGTGCTGCTCTGGGACGTCTGGGCTGAGGCCGGGCCTGGGGGGTGGGCACAGCGGCATGATGGGCGCTGTGGCGTCCCCTGGGCCCTCTGCCCTTGGTCAGACGCTGTGCCTGCTACTCTGGGGTCTCCCTTGAGGGCTGTGCT